ACGAAAGTCGATCATGGGTATCAATGTGTGGAAAGGCTAGAGCCGTGGACTGACTCTGTACACTTTGGAGGTCCTCCTGGATGGGAGGCGAACCTCTAAGAAGAGGATTTGAAAAATACTGATGAGAGCGAGAATAATTCGATTATCCTACCCTTGCCATGCAGTGCTCGGGCCATTGGTCATTGTCGTCTATATGTGCATCATTCGTGTGTCGGTCGTCATTCCGTGCCAAAGCATCTCCAAATCGCTACAGCCGCTTGGCTATCTAGCTGGTGTCCATGTCATCGCCGCTCTTCTTTTCCTTTTCTACTGTCTTCTTGACACCCTCCAGAAATGCCTTAACTGCATCTCCGCCACCAAGTGGCATGCCTCCACCTCTCATATAGCCTCCGTTTTCGACATCAATGTTCAGTGCCTGGCTGACAGTCGGTAGAGCACCGGTCCTTAGCGCCTCGTTCAGACTGCCCAATGCTCCCCTCAGCTGGGGTGCCCGCAGGATCCTGCTCAGAACCTCAATTTTCTCGTCCCGACCTAATGTCTGTATGGCCATCTGCGCGGTCTCGGAGTTGGGGTCGATTTGATCGATGTCTTCGACTTCGGCTTCTAGGAGGAAAGGAATTGTCGGTAGTTGCGCACACAGTGCGTCGATGGTCTCGTCGGAAGCGTTCTCAACGGTTGAGAGAGTATGCGTAGGCCAGAGGAACTCGGTAAGGCTAGCGAACGGTTCTGATCCTCTTTGTTGTTGTGAGCTGCCGCCTGCATTGCCGCCTTTGAGCGAGTTCATGAAGTCTTGCACAATGGCAGAGACATCACCTGATCCGGCTCTGTCGACGCGTTAGCGAGATGTTCAAGAGGATAGGCAAAAGCAAAAACGCGAAACGAGCGCCGCGGCGTGGCCAGTGGAAGACGTAGCATGATGCTTATTTTCTATTGTTGTACATGAGCAGCCAGTGCCAATCGCCATGTTTGGATGGTCTTATGCCTCTCCCAAAACGCCGTACCGTGACAGGATATCTTTATAGTTTTGTATAGAGCCGTTGGTAATTTTCACAGCAGCTCGATTCTGTCCGGAAAGGTAGACTGCGCCGCGACGCCGAATGCGATACAAATAGATGGAACCTACGCTCGACCACCATCGGCACCCCCTTCTCGGGACTCTTCGCCTTCATCTCGGATATCACCGCCTGTGGCACCAGCACCTGCGCCTCCGGTGCTACCGTGGCGGTTTCGGCTAGATGGCTCTACGTCTTCCATGGTCTCATCCTCGTCATTGTTGGATGAGCTCGAGATACCTGCAAGTTCAGCCTGTACATCAATCTCCTCGCCCGTCAGCAGCAAGTCAATGACCTGTCCGATCTTGAGGTCGCGCTCGCTGAACCAGCTCGCGCCGCGCGGGTGCTGCGACTTTGATTGCAACCAGAAGAGATAGCGTTGTGAGCTCGAGCTGAACTTGAGGACGAAGATGCGGCCGTCGGTGGGCGACTTGATGTTCTCGGGGTCATCGATGGAGTCCTTGCCGGTGTAGGGTTGGAAGGAGCCGTCACCGGGGATCATGATGAGGTCGAGGTCCGACTGGTCGAGCGAGCGGTCGCGTGGTCGCCAGCAAAAGTGCACGAATTCTGCATATGTAAGTTGAGGAAGCGGCTGAGTAGGTTGCAAACAAACCATCTTCTCCTTGGTACAGGTAGACATAGCCTGGTGTCGGTACTGGCTTGACTGTCTGCTGGTTGCCTTCTCCGCGCTGTGGCTATTGTTAGTGTACGATCTGGATTGTCAGTTCCCGCGACGCTTACAGTCAGCTCACACTGGCCGGCCTTGAAGGTGATGAGCGGTTGGATAGACATGGCTGCGGTGTGTGTCGGTGTTGGGGCAGTGATGTTCAGCGGCGGTACCGCGAGCATCGCCGCAAGCTGCAAGCTCCACGCGGATTACGTAACCAACGGAACAACTCTCGGCCCGGTCGCGCGTATCGATTGGACAGCTTGGCACACACTCGAATTCACGAAAATCGATTCCATCGCCAACACCACCGACCAGCACTAACGACCACAGCGAAACGAAATGGCGGCCAAACAAGAGGACACGAAGCCCACCACCCAGAAGTTCTCCAAGGGGGAGAGGTCGATACCGCACCACTCGCAGAAGGCCAGCAAGTACTACCCTGCTGAGGACGTTGCTGTCCCCAAGAAGGTACGTTCGCGATAGACGATGGTTTGCACGGAAGAGAAGGACTGCAGGGGTGCTGGGTGCATTCACTGCGACAGCATGCGGCGGGTGTTTGGGTGCAAGGACAAGAATCAAGACATCAATTGGAGCTCCGCTAACTGCGACTCAAGGCCCGCAAGTCTGTCCGCCCTGCGAAGGTCCGCCAGTCTCTCCAGCCCGGTACCGTCGTCATCCTCCTTGCTGGTCGCTTCCGCGGCAAGCGCGTCGTCGTCCTCAAGCACCTTTCCCAGGGTGTCCTCCTTGTTACCGGTCCCTTCAAAGTCAACGGTGTTCCCCTTCGCCGCGTAAACGCCCGATATGTCATCGCTACCTCTACCAGCGTCGACCTGAGCGGCGTAGACGAGAAGGTTGTGGAGAAGTGCAGCCAGGACGGCTACTTCACCAAGGACAAGGCCGCCCACAAGCCGGGTGAGGATGCTTTCTTCAAGCAGGGCGAGAAGCCCGAGGTACGTACACACAATGGAAGTACAATGCGACAATACTGACAAAAGCCACAGAAGAAGGAGACCTCCAAGGACCGCGTCGAGGACCAGAAGGCCGTCGACAAGGCTCTCCTGGCCACCATCAAGAAGGAGGCTCACCTCGCCGACTACCTCGGTGCCAGCTTCAGCCTCCGTAGCTCCGACAGGCCTCACCAGATGGTCTTCTAAGCGACGGATAACGATCGGGCATTCGGCGTTCAGTGCATGGGATGAAAGACGACTTCGGCATACTGCGGCTGTACTAGCGAGAAACAAGACTCGCAGCGGCACGGCAGCCAATTTTTTTCATGGAGGATTCCGACAAGGCATTTACCATAAGACTTTATATGAAGCGAGCGAATCTGAGACGGTCCAAAAGTGAACATTTGGTCTCCGCTTGCGTGATGTCATAGTTGGGCGTTCAATTGGCGCAGTACATACTGGGTGGTAATCGAGTACTGATGCAAGGAATAGAGATACAGACGTTACATTCTTCGACCGATACTGCGCCGACTGCCCACGAACTCCCAGCGACCAGACGTGAGGGTATCAGAAGCGACCGCTAACCAAGGACACTACCACCGAACCAATTGCGCCAATGCCATACGTACGCAGACCTCGTTACATGACCCTAGGCTCGCCGCTTGACCTACTTACTTCTTTCCCCTTCCTTTCCTAGCCTTGCCAAACTTCCCCGCCAGTCCGTTCGCCGCTTCCCCCGCGCCATCTATAGCTTTCCCCGCCTTCTCCTCCACGTTGTGCTTCTCCATCTCCGCTTTCAGGTCCTCGACGACATCTTTACCAATTGTTGTCCCGTGGCACCAGTCCAAAACACCCATGCATCCGTAATTACCCTCTCCTTCACTCATCATGTGCGCATCGGCGCGTCGTGCCATGCCTCGCAGCATGATGGTTGAGGGTAGGACATTGTACCCAGAGTACACGAAGGTCTCTTCTAGACTGAAGATAGCGATCAGGATCAAGTAAGTGAGGATATGCATCCGTAGAGCAATTGCTGGAAGGTATAGAGGTAGGAAGCGATGCAGGAGGTGGCAGATGGGGTGGTCGTAGTTTGCGGCAAAGGAATAGGGGATCTTGATGCTGTGGTGCCAGTTCTGATGCAAGTCCGAGAGTGCACCGCCGGTCGGAGAGTGCAGCAGATGTGTGTGGATATAATATTGCAGAACCTACGACATGTCTGTTAGTACATCTTTGTTAGGCAACGCAATCATGGTATCTTACGTTACGAGACAACAGTCCGATAATACCATGTTTGACCATCGTCCATGGGTTTGGTAGGTGATTCAATCCCCATCGACTGCCTTTGATGAGGAGCAGACTCCTCATCTGCAGTACGTCTGTGATCAAGAACTCAATACCCGCTTGCAACGCCACACTGAGCAACACATTTGCACAGCTCCACGCAATCACTCTTCTCACTGCGCGTGCGCCACCCTTTTGATTATTTGGAATACCCCATTGTCCCTGAGATTTGAACTCGATTGCTAGACTTGGTAACCCAATATCGAATAGCAAGAAGATCAGGCTGGGTATGATGTAGAGAGATAGCCGAATTACTAGGGGCGCAACTAGCTCAAGTTGAAGAGGAGAATATGATGCGGCGATTGTCGTCCATGCGACCGAGAGGAAGATGAGGTTTAGGCCTGTCGACCATGAGGATAGCATAGGAATGGCCAAGAATGAGCCCAGCGGTAGGGCGATAGGCGCAAGGATGGAAGAAAGTAACGCGCCCATGCCGAAAAGAGCCTCAAATAGGTCTAGAATATACTCTAGGGATGGAAGAGTAGTAAAATACGTATATGCGCATCGATCATGTGAGGGGGGGATTCTGCGCGAGGTAGATGTTTGTGGGCTTGCGCTTGATTGCGATGTGAGCGATGACGTAGCGGCGGTGCGCGAACTTGGTTCACGCTGCGTCCGCGTGGGAACGCGTCCGCGACGTAAGCGGGGCGCCCATTCTTTCAAGACCCATGCATGTGAATGGACCCTGGAAAACTCTAACCTTCTTTCCGTGAAACAGCACCAGTAACAGTTTATACAAGAGAGCGATGTACTCGCAAAAGCAGAAATCATGTGGCGCTACGCCCATGCGATAAGGTCGCTCAGCATTGCCCTTAGATTCTCATCACATAGTGCTGCCTCCCGCATCAATCATCCGCCCTCCGCCGCTGCTACAACCGAGATGTTTATCAGTCCTCCCCTATCGCTGGCACGTTGCGCGACACCTCCATCCACAACCCTCATCCTTTCAGTCTCACGTCTGACCCTCGACCTTCACGCTCTGAGTTCATCCTACTCCGGCAGTCCAAAGTGGCTCCTCATCTCCTCATATTTGATTCTGTATGACTCGGCTTCTTCATACCTTTTCCTCCAGAGTTGTGCTTCTTCCTGAGCTGTCCGCGCTGCGATCTCAGCATCCCGAGCGAGACCTTCCGCGATCATAAGCCGGATGTTGAGATCGAAAAGCTTATTTCGCAGTCCAGAGCCGTCTCGCTCGTCGGCATCGTTCGCTTCATCGAGTGCCACGATCTGGTCTCCACAAGAGTGGACTGGCTGTGGATGTCCAAGTTGGGTCTGTAGCTCAACTTGGGAGCGTAGTATTTGGGTCGTTGTGGGATTATCGATTAGCGGCGGACTGGGCGACGGGCTGCTGAGCACAGTATATGATCGGCTTGGGAGTGGGTCGTTCGCGATTTGCTCGAAAAGGTAGGGAGGCCTCTCGGGATAAGGTGCTGAGCTCGACTGTTAGTTACTCGGAACTTATTGATGGCTGATTTTAGACATACACTGGTAGTTTGCTGGTGCGGCCAGCACACTACCAGCTCCTGGTGGGAAGACCGTAACGGATGGGGTCGGAACCGGTTCTGGTCTCTGCGTAATCGCGTTTGCAATAGCCCGACAAGCGTGAGGAAATCTAGATACGAATCTGTGGAAGACATCCGAGTCGTCGATCACGCCTTTGCTCCAACCATTGGCGAGGAAGTAGTAACGTAACATGGCGTTGAAACAAGCAATTTCTGTTCCGCCTTGGGTCGGCAGGATGACACTGAACGGGAACTTGAACCTCCACCACGAGATGTTCTCTTCGGCGAAGACCATGTGACGAATTTGTTGCTCCCCTTTCCGGTTCTTACCGATGTATCCGAGCTGTATACGGCTGCCTGCTAGCCACGCGAGTACGTCGGCTGGTTTTCCGGTCTTGGTGCGGGTGCTGCCTATCACAAGGCTCTTGAAGTCGTTGTCGTGGTTGTACCCACGGACGATGTTGAACTGTACATGGAACGCTTTCGCATCGGGAAGCTGTCTGAATTGTTCAGGGAAGTCGCGGAGTGCCCATGTCTGAACGTCCTTGAAGGTGAGTCCGGTGGGCGCCATGGTGTTGCTGTGTGTAATTAGAAGGAGTGAGCGTGTTCCTACGATAGTCCTCGCAGGGAAAAACGAAGCTGTAGAAGCTCGCGCCCAAAGTGGGCTCATCTTCATCGTGATATAACGACTGGAGATGCCAAAAGTGGTTAGTGGCCTCACCGAGGCGCGCCAGTGGAAGCGATTGAGGGAGGAGCGATGAGAGGGAAGCAGTGGACAACCCCACTTCATACAGCTACGCGAAAAGTGAGAGAGGATACCTCACTCTAGCATCAGATCTGGGGATTGTGACAGAATTCTGATTTACTTGTTGTGGAAACATGAGCGTGTTTTGCAGCCCTATCGGTAAGTGGTCTTTAGAACCCTCGAGCTTTGGTTCTTGGGCAAGTCGATTGCCTACTGTGCGATCCAACAACGCTTTCTTCTACATTCCGCGCATCTATTCCTTGCCATTGCGATAATATCCCCTTCTTGTCGCACTTTCCACGTTGCGATGGCACCTTCCAAACATTGAGTAAGCCAGACCGCTATCCTTGTACAGAAGAAGACGTCATCTGCAGCAAGCATTACTCCGACTTTCTGTGCCACCCTCAAAACACAAAGCTGTGGCATATGGCAATCGCCAGGCTCAATGAGCCGAGTCCATAGCGATGCGGCGTTTCTCAAACTCTTCTTGCTTGACCAAAGTCTCTTGCTTTCTCATCTGTGTCTCCAGCTCTTCGACCTTCTCCTCTAGCTTCTTGATGTGAGCCATAGCTGACTCATTCGCGATCCTATGCAGAACTGTGGCTTTTTTTGACTTCATAGCAAACTCGATCATGGTCTGCAACTTGCCTACCAGGCCGCTGTTCTCTTTCTTAAGCTTTTCGTGCTCAGTTGTCAGCCTTTCAGCCTCACCTTCGAGTAGAGTAAGGTCGTTGAACAGAACTAACACTGCTTCGAGAGCCGTGTTGGTGCGATCTACCTGGACTGCCTTGAAGAAGAAACATTCATTCCAAAGAGTCTGGTGCCGCTGTTCCATGTCATCCCGCTCCTGAGTAATGGCATCAAGCCGGTCACTCATGGCCTTCTCTCTGTTCTCTGAAGCAGTCAAGCGTACCTCTAGGGTAGCGAATTTGTCCTCAAGACGCATTGTCTTCTTTTGTCTTACACGCAACTTCTTGATTTCGCGTTGTAGATTGGCGATGTTGGTATCATCGTTGAGGGCGCTGCGCTGCTGGTTCTCGTTTAAGGCACGGCTTGTTGTGTTGCTGTCGTTTGCGTTTGCTTCCTCGCCGGATCGCTCGTGAGCGCCGTTGAAATATTGGGACATTTCCGATGACTCATGAAGTCCAGTGATACGTTGTTCGACGGAGCCCGAAGCTTCTTCTGGGGTATTGCCTATTTATGGTCAATGATTGTGCCATCGGGAAGAAGAAAAGTTAATGTCTGACTTACCCTCTTGCAACAGTCTCTGATGCTGGCGATGACATGCGCGTGCGAAGTTCCATTTGAACATCTGACCATCGCATTGTAGAGCCTTTACCACCCCTTTCGCCGCAAGGTAGTATCTGATGGTCGCCTCTATCTCAAGCGCGATCTCGACAGGGGTGGGGCATTGACGGTCATCCAGTGAACACGAAGCGAACGCGTCCAAGAACGTCGGGCCGTAATCTTTGAGCCATTTGAGCAAGTCGAACTTGCCGCCAATTTGCTCACCACGGATCGGACAGGCCATCAGCGAAGACTCTTGAATGAATGCAAGCACAGTGATCTCTCCAGTGCCAGGACAGAACCGCTCGGCGGCCGTGCAAGATGGGTCGAAGCTCGTGAATGCGATAGCTTTCAAGATTGTGGATGTCTCAGCAATCTCCAGAAAATAGGTCTCAAGATCGTCCGGGTCAGGCAGTGTCTCGAATTCGACAGGGCAGATGGTCCTCGCCCATTCACGAACCGCCAGGGCATCCTTGAGCTGACACTGAGGCGTTTCAGGAACCAGCATGATAGCACCGGGTAGCGAACGTCGGGTATTCGGTGTAAGAAGGCGATGTTGGACGGCGATGAATATCGTTCAATGTAGTGTCAAGGGCGAGGAGACTGTGCGAGACTAGTAGAATGTGTGGCCGTTTGCACTGCGCGCTCGGTCACCGCTTTTCAAACATTCCGCGCGAGCGCAATGCTGCTTTAGGAAGGGGCGTGTAGAGCAACTAGTCCAAATCTCCATGCCGTATATGCATAATTCGTGATTCCCGTCTTCTTTCTACGTCTTCACTGAGCTCTAATGGGAGGGCATCTTGATAACAGCCTTCGATGTACTGCCACGCTCAGCCACTGCTAGGTCATACTAGTTGGATATCAGTGAAAGCACTTGAATGCCGATAATGCCAGGCATATTGGGGTTCCATACCGGGGCTGAGGTCACGTATGCGGTAACGTCCAGTAAAGATATTGCCGCTGCTCCTACGGAGCAGCCTGAGAACCTCCCGGCTCCTGTTTCGTCTGCCAGTTCCGAGTCGTCTGAGACTACGTCGGCGCCTCCGTGGGACAATTCGTCGTCATCGAGAAGGGCGCGTAGAATGCTCCAGGCTGTCCTTTCGGTAGTATATTGATATGGAAGTCGGGTCAGTAGCGAGCTTACGGTATGCCTAGATTCTGTTGCTGATCTCACATGTTCTTGCGTAGGTCTCTGCCATTTTGACCTGAAGGGTGGACTACGATCGAGGTGGCTCAATCAATAGAGAGATAGACATCCCCAGGTAGTCATAGACGTGGGAAGTAGACTCGCGTGTTTTGGCTTCCGAAGGGGAGAGCGAGAGAGAGAGAGAGAGAGAGAGCAAGAGACTGCTGTTGCCAGTAAAAGTGACATCGTAGTCTACCTAGGTGATAGTTTACAGACGCGATACTAATCAGGCTATGCTTCGCTCTGCCAGAGCCTATCCCAATTCAAGAGGAGTATTCTCTACCTGGGCGTACCTAGTGGGGAGGATGCAAGGTACCCAGGTGCACAAATATGCACATGATCAAAGTGAGGAAAGAGAAAGAACACCATAGATGCTTGAGAGATGGCGTGCAGCCCAGCAGGCTGATTAACGGCGGGCGATGCCCGCCTGGCTAACTTGTAGCATCTATGAACACGTCGCTTTGTAATGAACACGCCCTACCGGGTTAATACAATGCTAGCGCGCCCTACAAAGTACATTTTAATAGGGGCCGATGCAGTAATTCATTACAAACGGGAAGCGACTGCGACTGCCGCGTCCGAAAGGAAGTCGCGAACTGAGACGATAATGACGTGTGCGGGGAGCGGGGCTGTCAGCTCGCAGATCACTCGGAATTAACGCCGTATCCGCGGGTATTTATCATCAACGGGCATGCCTCTCTTGAAATAGCTTGCTTGAATTGAGCCGACCCTCAGCCCATCTTTTGTGATTCATGACGCTGGCATCACTCACTTTGCGCTCGACGAATCTACTCTCCAGATCGACAACACGACTTGCAGCCATCAATTCACACATTGCTCCGAGAGCATCCACCATCAGAACCATGTCTTCACTCCCAAAGACCATGAAGGCCGTGTACATCGAGAAGACCGGTGGAACAGAAGTTTTGCAGTACAAGACTGATGTACCGGTTCCAGAGCCCAAGGAAGGCGAGGTCCTGGTCAAGAACGAGTTCATCGGCATCAACTACATCGACACGTGAGTACCCTTGGACGTCTACTCAGAACCCAGGATGTCATGCTAAACTGTCGCCAGCTACTTCCGCTCCGGTGTATACAAGCCACCGCAATTCCCGTATGTTCTCGGTCGGGAAGGCGCTGGAACCGTTGCTTCCGTCGGACCCAACGCACCTTCTGATCTCAAACCGGGTGCGCGCGTAGCTTACATGGGTCAATCGGCGTACGCAGAGTATACCGCTGCACCAGCGAACTACACAATTCCGCTCCCTGATTCCATCTCCACCAAGACAGCCGCCGCTTCGCTTCTCCAGGCACTAACCGCCGTTACTCTGATCCGTGATGCTTACGAAGTCAAGGAAGGCGACTGGATTCTTGTCACCGCCGCAGCTGGCGGTGTAGGACTATGGCTCTGCCAGTTGCTCAAGGCTGTCGGCGCAAGAGTCATTGCTACAGCTAGCACAGAAGAGAAGAGGAATCTGGCAAAGCAGAACGGCGCAGAGGTGCTACTGGAATACCACGAGGACAACCGAGACGTTTTCGTGAAGAAAGTCCTAGAGACTACTGGAGGCGAGGGTGTACATGCAGTCTTCGACTCTGTGGGCAAGTCCACCTTTGACAGCTCGTTGTCTGTCGTGAGGAGGAAGGGTACGATGTGCTCGTTTGGAAACGCATCGGGACCAGTTGAGGGTTTCGCTCTTGCGTGAGTCTTTTTTGTACTATTCATGAGAGAAAGTAGCTGACACATCGTCTAGTCGCTTGTCAGCAAAGAACGTCAAGCTCGTCCGCCCTACGCTATTCAACTACATCGCCACTCGCGAAGAACTGCAGACGGCGGCAAAGGAACTGTGGAACTTCATCGAGAAGGACGGACTGAATGTCAAGATTCACGACGTGTATCCATTGAGCGAGATTGTGCGTGCGACCCAGGACATCGAGAGCAGGAAGACCACTGGAAAACTGGTGTTGACATCGTAATTGGCGGGCTCGTGAGAAAGTATCACGAACTGGCTGTATGAAGGGCGTGGGAGAATTTTATCAGCTCAGCGCTTCCAGGAACCAAACACTCTGCACATCGAATACAAAGATTGAAAGCCTTTTCCCTTGAAACTCAGATGACGCCATCGTTATGCACCGTATTCCGTCCAACGCCAAATGTCATGTAATGCATGCTGCAGAAATCCACTAAACTCCTCGTGAAGATGAAGAGAACCCTCAGCCCATATTACCGACCATCTCCTCAAGCTCTACGCGCTGTGACTGGGCCATTCCCGAGTCCCTGCTCATAAGTACGCTAGCGATTTCGTTAACATGGCAAGTACATTGCGCGCAACCATCGACACAGCTCACATCAGCTGGCGTATGCAGCTCAGATGAAGTCATCGCTGCAACCAAGAGAGTCAGCTGGCTCCGCTAGTAAATTTTCAGTATGCTGATGGAGATGTTGGGGAGTTGCAGGGTAGGAAGACTTACGATCTTGAACGGCGTAATTGTCGTGGAGGACTTCCTGGGCATCTTCATGGTGGTCAAGCGATTCCTGGGCGTCGACGAAAGAGTCCTCGCCGTCGTCGGTGGTCTCTTCCTTCTTGACGATACCCTTGGGCTTAGGCTTGGGGATGACCTTGATCTTGGTCTTGCCGACCTTCGCGCGCTTGGACTTGGTATCTAGAAGCTCATTGTCCTCATCTTCGCCCTCGTTATCTGGCTCAGGCTTGACCTCGGCTTCCTCATCGGTGGCGGCGACTTTCTTCTTCGGCGACGCACGCTTGCGCTTACTGGCCGGGGTAGTTTGAATGTCGTCCTGGTCGTCGCCAGAGGAAGTGGTGGCCTTGCGAAGCTTCTTGACAGTGGACTTCGGCGTACCCTTGGCCTTGGTGGGGGTGTTCTTGATGGGCGAGCGAGGAGTGCCTGCATCGGGAGCGGTGTCGTTGTCTTCGAATACCTTCTTCATGCGAGAATAGCGCTTGGACGCCGCTCCAGAAGTAGTGTTGGCCTTGGCTGCGATTTCACTCCAGTTGGGTGGCTAAGACACTATTGTTAGTGGCTGCTGGTTTCTCGAACTATGTGGCTGGACGTGAATTGGTGCTCACCTGAGTTCGCTTATGGTGCTTGACACAAAGCCAGAGGAACTGGTACGTTGTACCTCCGGGAACCTCGTTCCTGTCCATGGACTGCTTAAGACGCGACCATCGCTTTGTTACGGCGCCCTTGTTGAGGTCGAGCGCGGCGGAGACGGCATCCCAATCAATCTACAATGAGTCAGTATACGGGACTTGAATGAAGATGCAAACCAAAAAGGGAGACGATGAGACCTACGACAGGACTGCCATCGTTGGTTAGGACCAAGTATAGATAGTTGATATTCTCTGCTTCCGTAGGCATCTTGGAGGTGGTAGGCGAACAGAATCGTGATGCGGGGAGACTGTTGGCAGATTTGGCACGAGTTGGAGCGTCGTTGTGCAAAATCCAAGCGGAGATGTTGAATGTAGGGGTGAGAGAGGCATTCGACAATTGCCGTCAGCTATAGACCCACATTCCCTAGGTGAAGGCGAGATCTCACAAGGCAACGACAACAGGCGACACGCTAACACACTTAGCGCCGTTTTCCAAGCCAACGTAGAGAGATTAGTAGTGAGGAAGAGTCTGAGAGAGTCTTGGTGAGAGTGGTAGGCGGCTATGGATGAGGTAGTAGCGGCGGGTGTTGACAAAGAAAAACACATGCTGCTGCGACGATGTACGCCAAACAGCAACGGTCATGTCGAGAATGTTTGCTGTTTGCGAGGCGTGGTATTCCATTGTTGAACGCGACCCCAATGCTTAAGACACCCCTAAACCTACTGGCTGGTCTTCTTCGCCATCCTGTTCACTGATCCCGTTCCCAACCAACTCAGTGAAATCAAGCCCAACCTCCCTCAGCATCTCAGCATGTTCATGTGCCAATCTCAAGCACTCGTTCCATACATTGCCACCTTCATCCACGCTACTTAGCTGCCTTTTTAATAGTATGTTGAACTGGTCGATGTGCTCTTTCGACCACTTGACGCACGCGGACATGAGCTGTTGTGGGAAGCACTTCTGGTACATGTCGACGGTGTTCTTGATGATGGTGAAATAGATGTAGGAGATCTGAAAGATATAGTCTGGGAGATTGCCTTCGAATATGCATTGCCTGAAAGAGTCAGTGGGTGTTGTGGACTTTGATGGAGTGGAAACATACCGCGTGCGAGTTCTGATCAGGTTACCGCGAGCTTCCAGATAGGCTTCACGTGCGCGGTCTTCGAAGCCTAGTTGGACTACCCAACTCACGTGTTGCCTGACAGAGGTGAACCAGTTGTTGTGCTCTACCATGTGCTTGACCAAAACATTCGCAAGCTTCGCAGCGCGCTCATTGACCTTGTAGGTAACGATTGTCTTGGCCATCTCATTGCTTCTAATGTTCTTTGCAAGTGCCTTAAGCCGATCCACTTTCAGGACTGCCTCCTGGAAATGTTGAAGCGCGATCTCAATATCTAAATCGTCTAGTTGACTTTCTACCCATCGGATATTGCGCTGTTGTCCATCAATGTCAACAAAAGTACTGACTTGTTCGTTATTGATGCCGTCTGAGAGATTGTCCAACAACTCTGTCCTGTTCATGAAAGCAGGGTCGCGTGAAAGAAGGTGGCTGTAGGAATCTTGCGTTCGGTCTTTCTCCTGCACATCCGCTTCTTGGCTCTTGCGCAGGTCATCCTTCGTCTTGCGGAAAGTAGCCACGAAAGCGGATTTATCACCACTGTCTTCCTTCTTGGTGTCGTATGTGAAAGACTCAGATCCAGCGCGTATGATGATGCGCTCTTCTGGCGTCCTAATCACTTGGGTATCCTGTAGGGGAAAACATCTCTGGGCAGTAAACTCCATATTCGCCCTGTTGCCATCACGCTGTCCAGGAACATCGTTGCGTGCCTTTTTTTCTGATGCGATAAGGAGATGATCATTCAGTAGCAGTAGTCTCACTCTTCGCCTTGCCTTGAGGGTTGCAGAGTCCAGTTCGAACCATCTCGTTGACTTCCAAACGATATATCGTCCGGGGATAGGTGGTAGATACTTCTGCGAGCCCTCAACGTCCCTGTAAAGCTGCTGTAGCTGGCCTGCGCGCAATTGATTGAGATCTCCGATCGAACTTCGGTTAGCTCTTCGCGAGCTCGCAGTGTCATTGGCGGCACCCGTAGCTGATGCTGTCTGCTCCAAGGTCGTTGTCAGGTCAGACATCAACTGACGAAGCGTCCGCATCTCGCCCTTGAGCTTCTCTGCTTCTTTACTGATCTTGATAAACTGTGTGCGGTTTTGGTATACGTTGTGCTGGAGGTCGAGTGATGTACGATGCTTTGTCTTGCGCAGCTCGTCCTGGTAGCGGCTGATGTCTGCTTCAGAAGCGTCTGCGAGAATAGTTGATACATCTGTGCGAGTTAGCATGTATGCAACCAAATCACCAAATGTTGGCCTTACATCGCTCTACTTCCAGGTTGGGGTCCCGCAATGCGCGCGGGTCGACTTGCAGGACCCGTCCATTGGAGCTTCCGGGCGGCCGTCCCTCTCTCGTCTGGCTCTTCTCTCTGTACTGAACGGGCATTTGCGGCATCTGCGGCATAGGCTCCCCATTCCCAAAATCGCTAGGAAGCGTCGTGATCTTCTGGGAGTACCTCCTCTTGACGAGATCCGCCGTCTTGTCTGGCCGCTGCGGTCTTGGCTGTGATGGAGGGCCATCCTGTCTGGTCCTCGATCGGCTGGATTCGTTCGAAGGGCGCCCAGAGCTTGGGAGCGAAGCGGCAGCAGCAGCAGCGACGCCTGCGGGCATGGGCGCACTAATCTGTCGCGGCGCGCTGATGGTGGGCGGCGGCGCGTTCTTCTTGCTCTTGTCCCCCCGCTTCTTGCGGAGGGAGATGCCTTTTTGTTTCTCCGACATCTTGCCTGCAAGATCCCCCGATTATCGTGGTGTAGGAGCGCAGCACTTTATACAAGGATGAAACGGAACAGGTGCCCTAGAGCCTACATCAGCATGAGAACGAAAGCTAGCCAACCCCAACGCAATGTAGGCTTCCAGGTCATTTACCTCTAACACTCGTCCAATTCCTGCGTCGAGTGGGCTGGGAGTGGAGTTGTGGTCAGTGGTAGCGAGGGGAGCTGCGCCATGAGTGCGCGTCCGTGGATGTTGACAGGTACTCGTAGAGCCCCGTCATGCGTGGAGCCGCGGTCTCGAGTGTGAGCTCGGGCCCACTTTGGTGAATCGTGCCTTCCCTGAACACTGAGAAAAAGTTAAACACCACACCACATCACCGCCATCACCTGCCGCCAATTCAAAGGGCTCCAGCTGCTCCTTCCCCGCCTGATTGCGCTTTTCACTCCCACGAATCGCACCACCATCATGTCCAACTCGTCGTTAAAACCATCGACCATTGCGGCCATTAGCGCCGGCACCATCGTCACAGGCCTTCTCGCATACGCCGCCTACTTCGACTACAAGCGACGAAATGACCCCGGCTTCCGCAAGCAGCTGAAGAAGGAGTCGAAGCGAACAGAGCGGGCGGCCAAGGAGGAGGCCGAGGCACAGGGCGCCGAGCAGAAGAAGGCGATCCGAGAGGCGGTAGAGCGGGCAAACGAGGAGGGCTTCCCCAAGGACCCCGAGGAGGTGGAGGCGTACTTTATGCAAGAGGTTGCGCAGGGAGAAGGAATGGTGCAGAAGGGTATGGTTATGTTTGGCCCTCTTGGTGGGACGTGGTGCTAATTGTTTGCCAGGTGCGGACAACGTCGAGGCGGCGCTATGCTTCTACCGCGCATTGAAGGTCTACCCCAACCCGCGGGAATTGATCAACATCTACGACAAGACTGTTCCCAAGGTACGTTGCTGCTCTTCGCCATGAACTGGCGACGGCCCGCTAACACCCGACAGCCCGTCCTCGACATTCTCGCCGAGATGATCGCAGTTGACACGTCAATCCCCGTCGGCGGCAGCAAGACGCCGTCTGAGGCTGGCTCGGCAGGCGACCTCGAGTAAAACACTGCGACGATAGTACTTCGATAAATTCAGCAAGCATTCTTGGACCCCGCTCCACCTGATAACGGCCCCTGTAATATTCTTGTATATGGATCAGCATCGGCGCAGTCGGTCAATTCTACGGCCGGCGTTCTGGTTGAGCATGATTCATCTGGCTGGGGCGGCGTTGGGATAGATGCGGGCTTCCAATGCATACAATCCAAACAGCACTCGGCATCTCTCCATTGACGTCATGCAGTGGTACGCATGGGTACGCACTGGTATACTACAGATTACGTTTCCGACGTTAAGATGCATGCGGCCCATGCCCGAACGCCTTGCTGACAATGACTTTCTCAGACTTGCAAAACATCATCCCAAATAATTACAGTACGCCCTTAAGCGAATGAACCGAAGTTGATTGCCAAACGGCTATGTCTTGTTTAACATGAGCACGAGTTTTCTTGCGGTGGCTGGCTGGGGTTGATGTTCACGTCGATCACTGCATCGTGGATTAGCATGGCGTTCACCGCAATAATGTGTACGTCGAGACGTACTCTGACTCTGCCCTTGTTGGCCTTCGCCCTCCATGCCCGGTAACGCCTGCGCAATTCTCTTGAACAGCGCCTTTACGTTGTGTCCGACCTTCGCGCTCGTCTCGATGAACATCAAGTTGTTCTTCTTGGCTTCTTCTTCACCCTGCGCTGTTGTAACCTCGCGCTTGTCGTTCAAGTCGGTCTTGTTGCCCACGAGCACAATAATGACATCGTTGCCGCGCTCGCCTCTGACATCGTCTACCCATTTTCTTGTGTTTTCAAACGTCTTCTTGTTTGTGATGTCGTATACAACCACGGCTACGCTAGAATCGCGGATGTAGGAGGGAATCAGGGAGCGGAATCGTTCCTGGCCGGCGGTATCCCAGAGCTGCAGGCGGACAGTCCGATCTTCGAGGTACATGGTCTGCGGCGAAGATTAGATGTTGCACTGGATTGCCATATCTATAGCGGCTTTGCAGCGAGCATACCTTGCTTAGAAAGTCGATGCCGATGGTGGCTTGGTAGGTGTTGTCGAACGAGTCGTACATGAAGCGGGTAATTAGAGACGTCTTTCCCACTGCGAAGGTAGATTAGCACGTGTGTCGCAAACCGCTATATCTGCGATAGTATGCATACCACTTTGTTCGCCCAGGAATACGAGCCTGCAGCCGGTTAGTATACGAAGTTGGTCTCCGCCGCGGAGGACAGCTCACTTGAACTTCTTGAGCGGGTTTGAGTAGCCCGACTGCGCCATTGTGACTGAAGGCTGTAGATTTTGGGAGAATCGGAAGTCTCGAAATGTGTTATCACAGAGGATCAGAAGCAATATCCCGGCCGTGTGTCTTGGTGGGGTGTCGTGTCTGAATAGGAGTGTCGGTCGAATCTGGAGGCCTGGCACCCTGGCGGCCAACACCGACTACCGAGTGCAGCAGGGGTCCCGGTGGGTCCAGCCCGTGCGCCGCTTTGCTGGTCGGAATTTTGGGTCGAACTTTTTGCGACAACGAACAACCCCACAACGACTTCGAGCACGGCAACCGTAAGACACCATGGCGGACACCGAAGCAGCGCCAGCGCAATACAAACAGTCGAGTCGCAAAGGCAAGAAGGCTTGGCGCAAGAATGTCGATGTCACAGAGATTCAATCCGGCCTAGAGGATGTGCGCGACCAGATCATTCAAGGGTATGTTCCAACTACAACACACAGTCGATGCATATACTAACGCCGCTACAGTGGTGTCATCTCTGAGAAGACCGCGGACGAACTTTTCGCCGTCGATGTCCTTGGATCGGCTGAGATCCAAAAAGAGGTCGCGAAACGACACAAGCCTCTCAAGGTCGACGAGATCCTCGCTAAGCGCTCTGCCGTTCCCGCCGTATCCACCCGGAAGCGACTCTCGGAAATCACCGACGATGGCAAGAGGAAGAAGGCAAAGGTATCAGGCAAAGAATACGACAGGCTGAGGGCGATTGCATACGGAGGCGAGCAGACCAAGAAGGACGTCGTACAGACTGGCGACGCCGCTTACGACCCATGGGCAGTGCAAGAGGTCAAGGAGGATCCTCGTTTCTCATACCTTGAGAAGAAGAAGCCCAAGGTCGAGCCGAAAACCCTGAAGCACGCACCCATCTCGCAGGCAAAGACCGGCAAAGCCATTCCCTCAGTCCGCAAACCTACCGGTGGAAAGTCGTACAACCCCTTGCTGGAAGACTGGCAAAACGAGCTCATGCGCGAATCCGACAAGATTGTCGAGGTTGAGAAGAAGCGCCTGCAAGAGGCCCGCGAAGAGGCCGAGCTTATGGAGAGAGCTGCTGCTGAGACAGATTCTGACTCAGGCGAGGAGAGCGTGTGGGAGAGCGAATGGGAAGGTTTCAGTGACAATGAAGATAAGGAAGCCAAAAAGAAGAGGCCGGAGAGGAAGTCGCTGTCACAACGGAACAAGATCAAGAGGAGAAAGGACGCGCAAAGAAAGGCGGTCCACGAAGCCAAGATGAAGGCCAAGGAGCAACAGGTCCAGGAGATCAAAAGATTAGCCAAGAGCGTAGAAGAGAAGGAGAAGGCGAGAGCCGCTGTGAAACAAGCTCTTGAACAGAGGAATGCAGAGCTCGCAGATGAGGAGGACGATGGCGAAGAATTGGAGCTGAGGAAGAAGCAGTTCGGCAAGGCACCGTAAGTACCTATCCACGTTTCACACAACGAACATCTACTAATCGACCACAGTCTACCAGAGGCCCCGCTCGAAGTCGTTCTACCAGACGAGCTCCGCGACTCTCTGCGTCTTCTGAAGCCAGAAGGCAATCTGCTCAAGGACCGCTTCAGGACTTTCATGCTTCAGGGCAAGGTCGAAGCCAGAAGACAGATCCCATACGCCAAGCAGAAGAAGTACCACGTGTCGGAGAAGTGGAGCTACAAGGACTGGCAATTGCCCAAATAGACAGATATGGACCGACCGGCCAGTACCGACACCCGTGTCTATCGGTAAATGCACTTCTTTCGCGACCACTATAATTTTGTCTCGCTTGCAGTTATCTGGTGACTCCCTAACTCACTCACAATGGTAGTTGGTTGGGCACAGACCGCTGCATCCCCCGCAAGGCGTGAGCTACTTGTCATAGGACAGGTCAAGGTCGAATTTCCATCGGCGCAAGCTACGAACGGTATCAATTGTATGTTCATTGTAACGCTTGTCTCATCCTGACCTTGCCGATTTGTACCACATGCAACGAAAAGTCAGGGCGCGCCTTCCCGTCCTAGCCTCACTGTTATAGTGGGCCACCTAAGCATTCTATCAGTGAAGAGGCAGAGATTGTGTCACCGGCAGGCGTGTTTGCTACATCGAGACGTTATCTGCTCGATTTGTATTAGCTTACGGGTAGAGACATGCTCTCACCTCCTCCGTCTTCGCCCTCGACCAAGGCTCCCTCACTCCCCATCTCTGCTCGCACGACCCATTCAGACAGAAAGACCCAGTCACGACGCAACAGCATGGCAATCCAAGGTGAGTCGCTCTCTTTCCTGCTCATGTCACTTTACTGACCTTCAGCAGGTCCTTTCCGATGCTCGAACTGCAATGTTATCGAAGAACCCGCCAATCCTCTCAAGCGCTGCGGCGGCTGCAAGGTGCTCCGTTACTGCTCTCTATCTTGCCAGAAGGCGCATTGGAAAGATGTCCACAAGCACCGGTGCAACAAACCTCGTAACCACAAGGATGAGAACTGGCCTGAACAACATATGCCTGCACGCATCTACCCGCATAACACTCACCTCAGTATTACGTCCGTGAAATCATATGATGGGGTTATGCCCGGTCTTATCAAACAAGATGAGCCTATGAAAATTCACGAGCAGAAAGCTTCCGCCTCTGACAAGATTCTACTGAACAAAGACGAGCCGACAAC